GTGTTAGCTGTGGAGAGAACAAATATTGTAGGCACTTCGGATTCAGTGAACTCAACCCATTCTTAATTTTTCTGACTATGCATATAAGAACTTCTTCCTCTTTTCTTGTCTGCCTCTGTTGACTTGTTAGTTTAGAATTTGGAGAAGGATTGTTTGTGTCTGTTTATGCTCCTCACACCCCATCCCTGAAGTTAGAAATCTTAATTCTCATCTAGTAATATGATGACTTTGGAAACATTTATCTACCCTAATAAAAGGGTAATATGCTAATTAGACCTGGAGACCTTCCGGACGTCCTTCCTGACAAAGCCATGGTGGTGGGGCAGAGGCAGAGGCGGTTAGGGGTGATCAGGCCAGTTGCGGGGGAGCAGTCGGGGGTGAGCTGACTGGCAGAGGGTCCAGTTAGGTGCGAGCAGGCCAGCAGGGGTCACAGTTGGGGGCGAGCAGGCCGGCAAGGGCAGGCATTTGGGGGTGAGAAGGCCAGCAGATGGGGGGTCAGTTGGGGGTGAGCAGGCCGGCAGGCAGACTGGTTAGGGGCCATCAGGCAGGCAGGTGAGTGGTTAGGAGCCAGCGGTCCCGGATTGTGAGGGTGCAGGCCAGGCAGAGGGACCCCGCCCCCATGCACAAATTTTGTGCACCGGGCCACTGGTATATATATATATATATATTAGCTTTCTGTCTTTGATTATAAGCATAACTTTTACTTCTGACTTACTTTGTGAATTTGAAAGAGTTCAGTTCAAATTTAGTTGGCAGTTATTAAGAGCCTGCTATATCAGGCACTGAAGTTACAGTGTTGATCAGGGGTCCTCAAAACTACGGCCCGCGGGCCACATGCAAATACAAATATTGTATTTGTTCTCGTTTTGTTTTTTTTACTTCAAAATAAGATATGTGCAGTGTGCATAGGAATTTGTTCATAGTTTTTTTTTAAAACTATAGTCCGGCCCTCCAACGGTCTGAGGGACAGTGAACTGGCCCCCTGTTTAAAAAGTTTGAGGACCCCTGGTGTTGATGTTAAAGAAGACCATTGTGAATGGAATGAGATTTCTGTCCTTATGTATCAACAAATAATTACTGTACAGAGTTAGATGGAAAAATAGAAGCCCATAGAAGGTATCCAAGTAATAGAGAATAGAAAGGTATTATTAATCCAGAGTGATAAGGGAAAACCTCTTGGTAGATGATGTTTGAACTTGGTTTTGAAGGATGTTAGGAATTCCACAGTTGGACAAGATAGGGTTGTATGCTTAAAGGCTGAAATGCTGTCTGTATGATGCTGACTCTTATGATTTCTATCTCTACCTCCAACCTCCAACCTTTCCATGGAATTCCATGTATATGTATATATATATGTATGTATATATATATATATATCTGTCTCTATATCTGCCTGTGATTTTTCTACTTGGATATCAAACAGGCATTTCAAATTTAACATGCCTAAGACAGAACTCGGTTTTCTCCCCAAAATATGTCTTTCATGTAGTTGTCCCATCTCAGTAAATGGCTTCACCACCTACCCAGTTGCACAAGCCAAAACCTAGAAGACATTCTTGACTCTTCTTTCCCTCATTTTCCAAATCTAATTCATTAGTAACTCTTGTAGATTCTCTATATATTCCAAATCAATCCACTTTTTTCCATCCCTATTACTACCTAGCTCATGTTTCCTCTAGTCTAGTCAGATCACATCATTTTTCCTCTAGATTACTTCCTAACTCGTTTCCATCTACTCTTGCCTCCCACCCACCTTACATGTCACTCTTCACCCCGCACATGCATCACTTCTGCTACGGCTCTCAGAATATCCATATTCCTGCCTTAGCTTTACCTCAGCTTACAAATCCTTGCCTTAAGACTGTTGCCCTAGGTATTCCCTCTAATATAATGTTCTTTTGAGCTTCCTGTGACTGGCTCCCTCCCAGTCATTCAGATATCAACTTCAGTCTGTTTACTCAAAGAGGCCTTCCCTGACCACCCAACCTGAATTGCCTCCCAGTCATCGCTTATCATCATATTCTAGTTTTTTTCAGAGTACTCATTTTCTTGATTAGTTGTTGTCTTCCTCCATTAGAATATAAACTCCACTCGAGCAAGGAACCTGTCTTCCTGTTTCTTCTCTATCCTCAATGCTAGAATCCTATATAATAAAAGGATAATATGCAAATTGACCGAACAGCAGAACAACCGGTTGTTATGACGTGCACCAACCACCAGGGGGCAGACACTCAATGCAGAAGCTGCCCCTGGTGGTCAGTGCACTCCCACAGTGGGGAGCGCTGCTCAGCCAGAAGCTGGGCTCATGGCTGGAGAGCACAGTGGCAGTGGCAAATGCCACTCCCGCCTCCGTGGCAGCACTAAGGATGTCTGTCTGACTGCTTAGAAGCTGGACTACAGTTGGACATCCCCCGGGGGCTTCCGGACTGCAAGAGGATACAGGCCGCCAGGCTGAGGGACAACCCCCCTCCCAAGCATGAATTTCATGCACCAGGCCTCTAGTATAATAATAATCCTTTATTGAAAGATCTTGGAGTTTAAATCAAGAGACAACGCATATGCAATTTTCAGGAACTTGGCCTTATCCTGTAGTAGTGATAGAGATTATACTATGACTAGGGGCCCAGTGCACGAATTCCCTTGAAAATAACTGTGGCTGTGAGGCTGCGGTTGGCACAGGGGTGGGTCTTGGCCTATCCTCTGTGCCCCTACCCGGCCCCTCCTGCAGCAGCCCCTCTCCTGCCACCGCTGCTCCCATGCGCTGACTGCACGGAGCGATTGGGGCCAGCGCCAGCAGCAGGTGCGAGTGGCAGCTGCTGCCCCTGATTGCCCCTTAGGGGCGATCAGGGCCGGCAGCGGGTGCGAGCGGCGGCTCTGGCACTGGCAACGGGTATGAGCAGGCAGAAGGTATGAGCAGGCAGCAGGTGCAAGCGTCAGGTGGGACCGCAGCACACAGGAGCAAAGAATTTTCAGTATCCACCAGAGGCTCGCCCCGATGACAGCTACCGGCACCCTGCCTTGGTCTGGCGCCCCCGCTCACCTGCTCCACCATCCTGCTGCGGCCTACGCCTGCCATGTTCTGTGCTCTGCCACCTGCTGCTGATGCCCGCCATGTTCCGAGCACACCCCCTGGTGGTCAGTGCACGTCATAGTGACCGGTTGTTCAGTTGTTTCGCTGTTCGGTCTATTTGCATATTAGGGTTTTATATAGAGAGAGATTGCATGAGAGAAGGTCAGAAGGCATGGCCAGATCATGAAAAACCTTTGCAAGTAAGAAAGCAGTTTTTTCAAAGGGTTCCCAAAATCCTCTTATGAAAGTTGAGTACTTTCTTTTTCTTTTTTTAAGGAAACTTTTGGTGTTTTTTTAAAAATATATTTTTATTGATTTCAGAGAGGAAGGGAGAGGAAGAGAGATAGAAACATCAATGATGAGAGGGAATCATTGGCTGCCTCCTGCACGTTGGACCAAGCCCGCAACCCAGGCATGTGCCCTTGACTGGAATCAAACCTGGGCCCCTTCAGTCCACAGGTGGACGCTCTATCCGCTGAACCAAACCGGCTAGGGCAAAACTTTTGTTTTTAATATATATTTTTATTGACTTCTCAGAAGAAGGGAGAAGGGGAGAGATAGGAACATCAGTGATGAGAGAGAATCATTGATCAGCTGCCTCCTTCAGCGCCCCCACTGTAGATTGAGCCCACACCTGGGCATGTGTCCTGACCGGGAATCAAACTGTGATCTCTTGGTCCGTAGGTTGATGCTCAACCACTGAGCCACACTGGCCAGGCAAAAGCTGAGTACTTTCTGCCTTAGTGTTTCAAACAATTTTTGAAATGGATTATTAAGTAGACATGTTTCTTTCCTTTGACTTACTATAATTGTTTCACTCTTTACAAAATTTTTATTGATTTTAGAGAGAGGGGAAGGGAAAGGGATGTAGAGATAGAAACATCAATCTGCTGCCTCCTGCACGCCCCCTACTGGGTATCAAGCCCGAAACCCGGGCATGTGCCCTGACCAGGAATCGAACCGGTGACCTCTTAGTTCATGGGTTGACCCTCAACCACAGAGCCACTCCAGCTGGGTGTAATTGTTTTACTCTTTTGGTCAGTTCTAAATATGGTTTTTATAGAAATGACCAAATTCAGCTCATGGCATATGCTGAATGTACCTGACCAAATACAAACCCAAAAGGATGAAGTTTAAGGAACCAGCTGCTTTCACTTTTCACTGGACGGTGTCACTTATGGATCTCACACCAGAGCAACCCCTTTGATCTTTTCTGTTTCTTAGCTGCAAGCAAGGATTACTACCATCTCTATACTCTACTTAATTGTTAGAAACTACTGCTACATATCTGGCTAATGGAAAAATTCTGTATGTATTCTGAAAAAAGTGATTTTGTACTCAGCCTTCTATAGGTTGGATAAGTTGTGTGGAGGTAGTGGACATGGGTTGCTTACATCTCCAGGAATGGTAGAATAATACTTATGGCCTGATGAGATGTCATCATATTATGGTGCCCAGTGTTGGTCATGTTTTTGCACTACTTTTGAATAAATATGCATGAACCTGTCTGAATTTGGCTATGTATCTTTTAAACCTGGTGATTCAGCTCACAATAATATTAATATTGTGTCAAGTCCCCTCCACTGTGTCATTTGTAGACACCATCTGGGAATTGCCATCTGGGACATGAGATCTTGGCTGTCCTACAGAAGTCGTGTCTTCAGGTTGGACACACCATATGTTATCGCTGTGTGAACTGAAAGTAGCCATTTGGTGTGATGTAGCTAACATTCTGGTTACATGTACCACCTCCCTTCAGTCACTTTAAAAGGTGATAATCTGCATCTAACCTGATTCAGTAAGTTTTTTTCTCTGGTTTTCCTCTTTGGTCTATTCAGCCTCCTTTGGAAAGTCTGGCAACGGTGGAAGAGACTGTGGTTCGAGACAAGGCTGTGGAGTCCCTGAGGCAGATCTCCCAGGAGCACACGCCTGTTGCTCTGGAAGCTCATTTTGTACCTCTGGTGAAACGCCTAGCGAGTGGGGACTGGTTCACGTCTCGCACATCTGCGTGTGGTTTATTCAGCGTTTGCTATCCCAGGGCTTCAAATGCTGTCAAAGCAGAAATTAGACAGTAAGATATGGTATTTTTTTAGTTATTTGGGGTTATTGGGACGATTTACACAGTACCCACTTACCAGTGAGTGGCTGATATCAGGATAATAAGATTGATGACATCACTTTTTATTGTCCAGTTGAATATACCAGTGTTTTGTCTTTGTTTCTTCCATGAGTAGAAGCCTAATCACAGTGTTTGTAAGAGAAAACCTCTAAAAATGCCTTGCTGTGTTTGTGTTGTTGGGGGGGGAGGGAGTATTTAATCAATGATATTTGACAGGAAGTACCTTCATTATTTTATTTGCTCTAGGCACTTCCGTTCCTTGTGCTCAGATGATACACCAATGGTACGACGTGCTGCTGCTTCCAAATTGGGCGAATTTGCAAAAGTTTTAGAATTAGATAGTGTGAAAAGTGAAATTGTTCCATTGTTTACTAATCTAGCTGCAGATGAACAGGTAAGTTAACTCAGTATTTACATTACACATATATGCTCCTCTCCTCTAATATTTTAAGTATTTCTTTGGGGAGTTTGGGTCTCATGTTAGGATTCTTTTTGCAAAATTAATACTTAATTCTGGCCTTGATAAAGTTTAATGACTCATTTCATTGTCTTTATGTTTCTTTCTTAATCAGACCATGATTTTCTCTTACATTGGCAGTTGTTATAAAAGGGGGAAGTCAGAGGAAATGGGATCCATAATTAGGACGATCAAAGTTGCATTAAGGGGTAACATACCTTTGTGCATTGAAGGCTGGCTTGTCATATGGGAGGGTAAGGATTCCTGGAATTTTTGACTTTCAGATAAACAAGCACAGTATATATTAGGAAAGCCATTTGGCCCTTTGCATCTCTGTGTGCGTGTATAGGATGATCTCACATAATAGCAATTTTAAATCCAAGGATCTAGATTTCTTTAGTGTAGAAATAGCAATAATAATAAAAACAGCAAGCACCTAAATGCAGTACTTCATCTTCCTTGGCCTCTTTAAAGTTGTTTATATAAATTAATTCATTTTTCACAACAGCCCCATGGGATAGATAACCCATTTTACATTTTAGGAAACAGAGGCACAGAAATTGAAGTAACTTGCTGAAGGTTGCCTCATTAGTAGTAGTGGAGCTGGGATTGGAATCTAAGCACTTCACGGCGTTCACAGTGAGGCTGTACTGCCTCTCTGTGTGGTGCTTCAGAGGATCAGACACCAGAGTTTGTGGACTAGAGTGAGTCCTTTGGGGTTTTTAATTTGCCTGGTATCTGCCCTAGAATCACTTAATGTGGACAGGACCAAGAGCACCAGGCACATGCTGATGAGTCTTATTTTTAGATTCTAAATTTAAAGATGATAAATTTTACTTCCAAAGAATTTTTAAAAATTATTAAAATAACATTTAAAAAATCAGTACAAAGTATACATCTTAAATGAATTATTATAAGGTAATGTCATCTTGTAGCTGTCATCTATGAAACAACAGAATTTTGACAGCCACTACCCCAGAAGCCCTCTCTGGCCTCCCAAACACAACACCTCCTTCACTCCCCACTTGTCACTGCCCACCTCCTTAAGACTAACACTTTATCTTGACTTTTATGATAGTTAACTACTTCCTTCTCTTTGCACTTTCATGACTCAAACATTATAGTTTAAAACATTGTCCAACAGATCTGTAATGTAAACTACCTATTTTAAGCTTTTTGGTAGCCACATTTTAAAAAGTAAAAAACAGGTGAAAATAATTGTAATGATATATTTAACCCAATATACCCAAAATAATTATCATTATAACTAGGCACTTTTCAGGTGTGGATAGTGGTTACCACATTGGACAGCACAGATTTAGAGTCCTCATTTGGGATTTTGGTGATTACATTTTCTATATTATAATTTAACATTTTCTTTGTCCTCTATATTTCCTGCAAAATGGTAGTTGAATCTTGTGGTGGGGGTGGGGTTGCAAACTTTTTCTGTAAAGGACAAGGTAGTAAATACAGGGGTGGGCGAAAGTAGATAGACCGTGGCAGTGTGACATTCTTTTGAGTTATTGAAGCTATTGTAATAATAACCTGCATGTGTTTTTCTATATTTGCCCATGCCCACCCCGGTAATTTAGGCTTTGTGGGCCAGACAGTCTGTTGTAACTACTCAGCTCTGAAGGAAAATAGGTGATAAAGAGATAAGTAAGCAAAATATCAGGGATAAATGCTATGATGCAAATATAGAGTAGGGTGATACAATTGGAAGTGATTATAGGACATTTCTCTAAACTGGCTAGTCAGAGAAGGACTGCGAAGAGGTGACAAACTGAGACAAGAAAGAAAAATGGCAGCCATGACCTTTCCTAGAGTGTCAGCTCCAGGAAGGGAGGACACTTGTGGATAGTGGTCCTACAGTTGGAACCTAGTGGGTGAAAGGGACTCTGGTAAAAGATGAGGTTGGAGAAGATAAGCAGGGGTCTGGTCACAGAGGGTCTTTAGGCCAGGATATGTAGAGTTTGGGTTTTCTTTTCTAGGTGCAATGAGAATACACCAAGATTTTAAGCAGGGTTGTGACTTGATGTAATTGAGGCTTCTGGGTGGAAACTAAATTGTAAGGTTTACTTTACAGTTCTGTGTGGGGGGGGAGGGGGAGAGAATAGAAACAGGAAGACCAGTTAGGAGGCTTGTCTATACTCCAGTCAATACACAGTGGTGAACTAGGGAGGTATAGTGAAGATGGCGAGAATCTGGAGGTAGGTATGGAGGTAGAGTTAGTAGAACTATGATTGGGTTGGGTGAGGGGAAGAGGCATCAAGAAGATCTTGATTTTTGGATTGAGCAACTGGGTGGGTGGTGGTGTCATTGCTGAGGTGGAGAAAATTCTGGGAGGACGCAGGTTTGGGGAGAAAATCAGTTCTGGAAGAGAAGTAATTGATTAATTTAACAAGTATTTATTGGTATATTTTTCCATAGATGGTAGCAGTCCCTTGATTTAGCATCATTTTGGGAATCCAAAAATATCTATAGCTGCTACCAAGACTTAGTTCTGCCCTTTTTAGCCTGTTCATTTGGGTAGAGGAAGTGTTCTTGGGCACAATAGTAAGTTTTTGTTGATTCTGAAAATTTTAAAAAATTTGTTAATAATTTTGGAAAGGTTGGGAATCACTCTTATCTTTCATGTATATGTGTGTACATATGTACACATATATATATGATATATGTGTATATATAAAATATGTAGTTATATAAAGGGACCTTTGTCCTGTTTCTCCCTGGGCACTTTATGTTTTACATATTTTCAAGTTTCTACTTTATATACTTATGATTCCCAAATCTGTGGTGTCAGTTCCTAATTTCTCATTGGTTTGTCTAGTTGTATATTTCCACTTGCTCAAAGGACATATAGGTGTCACATTGACACTTGGCACTTTACATTTGGAAAGCTCAGTTCAGTCATTCCTTATCTTTCTAATTTTTTCATTTTGCGTTTTCCCAGACTTGGCTACCTCAAAGTTATCTTGTCCTTGGTTCTCAACATTGAAATCCAACTTTTTAAATTACTCTTTTGTTTTCCTATGTGTTTCTTTCCAAGTCATCATCTTATACCTCAATTCCTATTACTGCCACTTTAAACTGAGTACAGGCTGCCCTATCTGAAAGCAGAGCGCGTTCCTGTGAAACCTTTTGTAAGCCAAAGTGGCATAAAGCAAAGAAGCAGTTACCTTAGAGATACATCTTGCTAATAGTGCACAAATTAAATAAAAATAAAACCCAGGTGCACAGACAGTTCAAGGTGGTGGCATCTTGATGCTAAGATGCTGGGTGTAGCTCCTGAGAAGGAGCTCTGTGGGGCCACTGCTTGAGGTGCGCTGCGTCTGTAATGGCTCCTGCAAAACAAATGCTGAATGCTGGTTTCGCTTTTTACCTTTTTTTGTAAAAGTAAAAATCCTTCTCAGGCTTCTTTCAGGTAGGGAAACATGTATTAATCTAGGTTTTTCATAAAAGCAAAGTTGCAGAATGAACTTTTGAGAAGCGGGGGTACCTGTATTTTGCTAACAGCTCCCCAATGATTCCCTTACTTATTATTCTCTTTCTCTGTCCTGATCTGTTATAAACTTATGTAAGCATAGTTGTCATTATTTCTCTCAGCTTTTTTATTAGAGTGAGGCTTTGAAGATATCATTAAAATGTTCTTTTTTTTTCACTTTACATTTTTACTTCATTTAAAAAACAACTCTGCACTAGCCAATGTAATTATTTTGCTGTTCATTCACAGAATAAGTTTCTACCTTTGTGGCTTTGACATACTATTCCAGTCAGAGAACAGCTATTTCCAGGCACAGACACATGAAGCTGCATGTAGTGTAGTTCAGCAGTCGCCAACCTTTCGGACCTCACAGACCACCAGTGGTCCACGGACCACCGGTTCGCAACGCTGGTATTGTTGGTTTGCTTCTGTTTTTTTTTGAAATGACACTCAGAGCACACCCCCACACCATATACTTTGACTGTCAGTAAATATTGTCTAACAGAAATAAATTTTATTCCCTTAGGATTCAGTGCGCCTCCTAGCTGTGGAAGCTTGTGTCAGTATTGCCCAGTTACTGTCTCAGGATGACCTTGAGTTTTTGGTGATGCCTACACTTCGACAAGCTGCAGAAGATAAATCTTGGCGAGTTCGCTATATGGTAGCTGACAAATTTTCAGAGGTAAAATTATTGCACTGGTATTTTCTTTAAGTACTAAAGAAAAAGAGAAACAAGAAACCCACAAGTTTGCTGTGGTACCAAAAGTCTCTGAATTCTTATGAATCAGAAGTGTTTGTGGCAAAAATGTATACCTGAAGTTGTGCTGTTTTGTGTTTTCATATTAATTATTTTGTTAGTTTGCATTTAAACCTGTACATATTATTTTATAGCTCCAGAAAGCTGTGGGTCCCAAAATCACCCAAAATGACCTCATCCCCGCCTTTCAGAACCTACTTAAAGACTGTGAAGCTGAAGTCCGAGCGGCTGCTGCCCACAAAGTGAAAGGTTAAGGAGTTCAGTTTATGTTGCAGGATGGCTTGTTTATTTTGGTGCATTTTTTTTATGTCAGTGAATTTTTATGATTTTTGTTCTAGAATATGTTTTCAAATAAATAGAGATGATTTTATTGTATAGAAATGTTACATTATCATGTAAGTTAAAACCAAACAGCCATTTTACCTTGTTTCAATTTTTTTTAATGCCTTTTCACGTTGGATTAGTGTGATACACAGTGCCATTTAGATTGACAAAAAAGTGTATTTAGAACAAGGGTCACTTCTTAGAGATTTTTTGCTTAAACATATGATTTGAGTTAACTTGAAACTTGATATAACTGGTTAAATTTCTTCATTTGGCTCCTTGTAAATGGTTCTATGTAAGCATTATTTTTTTTCTATTTATCTCTTTTAGAACTTTGTGAGAACTTGCCCATTGAAGGTAGAGAGACCATAATTATGAATCAAGTGCTGCCCTATATAAAGGTAAACCTAACTTTAGTTTACTTTTAGCTTTACCTCTGCCTTATGTGAAGGCAAACTTTGCCTCTTTTTTGTTTGTTTGCCTTAGAGCTCTTTTGAGTTTAAAGGAGGACAAGGGATGAATGGGATAGGTGTGTTAATGTGTGACATTATTTATCACTTATTAGTAGTGCGTTATAACTGAAAAATGCTCGTTGGCACAAAGGTTTGTGTTATCTGACAGTTGATCTGAGGAAACATTATCAACGAATCTATTGAAATAGTGCTGTCTTTTTAAATTCCTTGGGAAATAGTATGGAAGTTTCTGTTGTCTTGCAAAAAAGAAAGGCTTTTAATTTTTTTTTTTTTTTTTTTTTTTTTTTTTTAGGAATTAGTATCTGATACAAATCAACATGTCAAATCGGCTCTAGCTTCTGTAATTATGGGATTGTCTACCATTTTGGGCAAAGAGAATACCATTGAACATCTTCTACCTCTTTTTTTAGCTCAGTTAAAGGATGAGGTGAGTCTGGCTATAAATTCTATTGCTTGATAGACAGTGATTTGGTTTGGTTTGGTTTGAGGTTTCACTAAAATAGAACCCAAAACAGGGATAATGTGATTTTAAAAAGTAACTTATTTTAAACTAGTGACAGTCCTTGTGTTTGAATATGGGTTGCAAGTTCCCCAGAAAATGGGCACTAGGAGCCATAGATACAGACTTAAAAATGTCTCCTCATTCTCTTTGTCTGATTCCTGCTGAGAGGCTCTGGTTTCTTCTCTTCAAACTTAATAGATCTTTGTTTAAAAAGTATCTTTTATTTAAATATAATATCAACTTTATACTGATAGCTAACATTTATTGAGTAAAACTATATGCCAGGCATGATCATAAATGCTTTAGCACATATTATTACCTGTAATCCTCACAGCAATCTTAGAGGTAGGTCTTATCCCCATTTTACAGATGAAGCTGAGGCACAGAGAGAGAAAATAGTTCACCCAAGGTCTTGGCAGATCTGGGATTTGAATGCATATAATTTGATTCCAGAGCCTATGCTCTTTACCATCCTATAGAATTTTTGTCATATATATATATTTAATTGATTTCAGAGAGGAAGGGAGAGGGGGAGAGAGATAGAAACCATCAATGATGAGCAATAATCATTGATTGGCTGCCTCCTGTACACCCCCTACTGGGGATCGAGCCCGCAACCTGGGCATGTGCCCTTGACTGGAATCGAACGTGGGACCCTTCAGTCTGTAGGCCAACACTCTAGCCACTGAGCCAAACCAGCTAAGGCCATCATATAGACTTCTTATTGAGAGTTATGGTTAAGAACAGTTACAGTTATGTGCTTTGAGTTATTTGTGTACCCAGTACTATTTCTTCCAAGACTACTTTTTTACCTGAGTCAATAATTTCTTATTTTAAACTTTAGTTAGCAGTTTTTACCTCATCATGACAATAGGAAAATATTGGGCAGAAAACTTGATTTTTATATGTGTTCTTTTGGGGCTTGTGTACTTGCAGTGTCCTGAAGTTCGTTTGAATATCATCTCCAATTTGGATTGTGTAAATGAAGTGATTGGAATCCGTCAGCTCTCTCAGTCTCTTCTTCCTGCCATAGTGGAGCTGGCTGAAGATGCCAAGTGGAGGGTCCGGCTGGCCATCATTGAGTATATGCCACTGCTGGCAGGCCAGCTGGTGAGTGTGTGCGCTCCATGAAGTGACGGATAGCATCAAATAGTTGAGCAGATTTATTGTGCCAAGTAGGAGGCCCCAATAATTTGTATGATTTTGTTCATTTAGACACATCTAAGTATGGTAGGTCCTAGTTGCTTGTAGATGGCTTTTATTTTCATTAGTGCATTAACTTCTAACAAAAAGGAATTATATTATAGAGACACTTTTTACCTCACCACCATCTAAAAGCAAAGCCATAAAAACAATGTTTCTTGGAATGTAACAGATTTTGTGTAATTTAATGTCTCTGTGACAAGGAATATCTAACTGAGAGGAAAAGGGAGTATTGTTTTAAGATAAGTTAACTTTGATTTTTGCTCAGAGAAGCTTCCCTGTTTGCCTATATACTGAGCAAAATGTCCTAGCTTCTGCTTTTTTTTTTTTTTGGGCTACTTTTTTTGCTTTCTGGTTAAAAGGGAGTTGAGGAATCTGATTAGAAAAGGAGTATTGAAGTTTTTAATGCTAGTATTTTGGCCAGAGTCCACATTATCAGATTATCTATTACTTTTTTTTTTTACCTATTACTTTTTGAGTTTCATGGTTATTTTTACTCTGTTATGTTAATTAAATTATCAGTGCTGGGTTTTATGGCCACATCCTTTCCTTTCTGTTTTCATAGATGCCCTCGATCAGCGGTTCTCAACCTGTGGGTCGCGACCCCTAAAAATACATCCTGCATATCAGATATTTACATTATGATTCATAACAGTAGCAAAATTACAGTTATGAAGTAGCAACGAAAATAATTTTATGGTTGGGGGTCACCACAACATGAGGAACTGTATTAAAGGGTCGCAGCATTAGGAAGGTTGAGAACCACTGCCCTAGATAGTTCTAAGTGTGATATACCATTACCCTGTTGGTAGCATTTATTGCAGTGCAGTGTGGCTGTCAAAAACTAGTTGGGGGAAAAAAAACTCAAGGCCTATCATGTGCCCTAATTTTTAGAGGAGTTACATTAAATATGTTTCTCTAACCAAATGAAAACAAAATTTTTAAATAATAAAAATTGCTATTTAATATCCCTGGGGGGCGGGGGAACTAGTTGGGAAGATAGACAGGTGATCTTTTTTAGGGTAAGGACTGTGTTTAGTGTTTGATTGCCAGTGCCTACTATAGTGCCTGGCATTAATCAGGCACTTAGCATTTGTCAAGTGTTAGATAGTGAATACCTGAATATTTTTTGAGAAAGCTCAAAATATGTCAGTTTACAGCTAACGTCACTGCAGTTTGTTTCCCCTCTCTCACCCCACTTCCATTCCTCTCAGATCATAGCATATGGGATCTGGTTTTTTACTTTCTTGGACCACTGGATTTGTGTTGCTAATTTTGGTATATTCAAATGCATCTTGTGGTTATCTGTGGCATCACATGTTTTATAAAATTTGAAGTGTCCCACTCTTCAAAATGGATGTAAAAAATATCACTCTATAGCTAAAAGGGTCAGGCGAAGTCATCTTGTCACTTTTTCCCCCATCACTCCCAAGCACTGAGAGTCATCCTTTGTTCTTCACTGGTGACTGTCATGGGTCACTTTCTCCAGAATGGAAAGCAGCAGTGGCTAACTGGTTGGCTAAAGGCTGAAACAACTGTGCAGAAGAGAGGGAGAATTTTAGTACTATTTTTTTTAAACCTCTATTCCTCGTAGATCTGGGAGGTCAGTAAAGGTTGGCAGCTCCACAGAGGAGTATAGAAGCAAGTAGATGCTGACTTTGGCTGACACATACCTTTTGGGCAGGGCTGATACACATTGGTCATGAACATTTTGTTAATGCAACTTCAATTTCTTGTTCGTATATATCTTTTTATTTTTTTATCTGTATCAGGTAGTCAATTTATAAAATTCTTTCAAGAGATTACATATGGCCTGGCTTATGGACCATGCTGAATAAATGTAAAGTTAAACCACAAAAATCAAGAAATAAAAGTTAAGATTTAAGAGCCTTGGCCAAGTAGTTCAGTTGCTTGGAGCCTTGTCCTGGTATGTCAAGATTGTGGGTTTGATCCCCAGTCAGGGCACACACAAGAGTCAGCCAATGAACACACAGATATGTGGAACAGCAGAATGATGTTTTTCTCTCTCTCTCCCTCCCCCCCCCCCCGCCCTCTCTCCTTCCTTCCCTGCCTCCCCATCTCTCTACCGCCTTTCCTCCTCATCTCTCTTCCGCTTCTGCTCTCTAAATTAAATTAAAAAAAAAATTTTTTTTAAATATATTTTATTGATTTTTTACAGAGAGGAAGGGAGAGAGATAGAGAGTTAGAAACATCGATGAGCTGCCTCCTGCACATCTCCCACTGGGGATGTGCCCGCAACCCAGGCACATGCCCCTGACCGGAATCGAACCTGGGACCTTTCAGTCCGCAGGCCGACGCTCTATCCACTGAGCCAAACCAGTTTCGGCTAAATTTAAAATTTTTAAAGAAAAATCCATAACTTGAAATGAAAAAGAAATCTTTGAGAGCTGACATGGTGATTTAAGTATATGCTAACACCTATTCATGATCTATTATTATAAAGCATTTTATGTTATTAAATCACTATTTTCAGAGTACTTTATTTGAAATATATAATCGCTGTTCAGGAACTTCTTAGATCCAAAGAAACATGTAGATCCCAAAAGGGAGACTCTGGGAGAGCACTGTGTCACAGCATTCTCCTGCATGGTACAGAATTCCCACAGTGACAGGTCTGTGTAAATCAGCTCTAGGAGCTTGTCCCCTCTTGTGCTCGAGTGGCCAAATGTTGACAGGAAGAGCTAAACTGGAAGAGCCAGGATGGTTCTACCTGTGACTCTGCTGGGTCACCTGCAGTGTTGCGCCTGCTTTATTCTCCCTCTGCTTCCTCCCATCATCTTAGAAATATTCTATTTAAGTGGAAATATCTGTATTTCTTGATATCAGTTTCTTCATCCTTAATGATTTATTATAATCTTAACCAAAAAGGGAAATTTTTTGAGACTTATTAATATTATTGACAGAGAAGTACAGATTGATAGTTTCAAAAATAGTCATGAGGATATAAAGTACAGCAAAGGAAATACAGTCAGTAATATTGTAATGACTGTGTATGGTGCTAGTGGGTACTGGAAATACCAGGGGAACACTTTGTAAAGCATATGATTGTCTAACCACTACGCTGTACACCTAAAATTAATACAAGTTTATATCGAATGAACGTAAACTGTAATTGAAAAATTTTTTAATTAGAAAATAAAGAAAAAATATGCTATTGACATATTTTACTGGGTAATTCCTTTTTACAAATAATCTAGATAATGCTTGGCAGACTGTCCATACTGCATTCTTTCTATCATTTGCGGTATCACATCTGGCTCCTGACCATCTGATTCTCTCCCACTTAGCAGGGCCTGGGCCATCTCACTTTGTTTATTATTTCTATCCAATAAAATAGATTTACAGTTTGTAAATCAAATTCCATGGTAATTGTTTTCTGGCTGGTTCATGAATTCAGCTTATTTGGAAACGAGTGGTTTTTAGCTTTTAGTTTATTTTGGTGCAATAAATAGATTATCTTGATTTCTAAACTTTGTGAAATGTGTATTAATGGAATCGTCTGTACCCATAGGGTGTGGAATTCTTTGATGAAAAGCTGAATTCTTTATGTATGGCCTGGCTCGTGGACCATGGTAAGTAAATAAGTTAAAAACAGGTTGTTATGGAGTGTTCGTGTCTTCGCATCTATCCCGTGTTGTTTATATATTTCTTTTTTAGAAAGGACGACTCATCTGATTGCCTTCCTTGTGTAGTGATGAAGAAATACTGTGATTAAAGTCCAGTTAGTTTCCTCTGAAACACAAGTTTGATGTTTCTGTTTTCTACCAATATTTTCTGTCTTAAACTTTATTTTTTTCATGAACAATCTCTTTGCTTTGTTTCTTACTCATTCTATTACATTATTTTCAGACTCTTACATACACATATACTCACTTTTTTTTAATCCTTACTCAAGGATATTTTTCCGTTGGTTTTTTTTCTTTTTTTAAAATGGCACCAGCACCCAAGGTCAGGGAGTCAGAGATTTTAAATTATTTTATTACTTATCTGTCTGTTTTTCAGCACCATTTTTTTTTTAATCCTCATCCAAGGGTATTTTTTCATTGATTTTTAGAGTGGAAGAGAGAGGGAAAGACAGAAATATCGATGTGAGAGAAACATCAATTGGTTGCCTCCTGCACTCACCCTCGAGCCTACAACCGAGGTATGTGCCCTTGACTGGGATCAAACTGGGACCCTTCAGTCCGCAGTCCGACGCTCTTGCTACTGAGCCAAACCGGCTAGGGCTACATATACTCATCTTGAGGTCTTCTGCTTGACCATGCTGTCTGGGTGGGACAGAGACTGGAATCAGATGAAAGGCCAATGGGGAAGAAATGGCTACGTGGCTTGTTTGAGTGGCACAGAGAAGGAGCTATACAGTGGCACGGGAACAGAGTCCAGTCCAGACCTGGCATCTTCAGTACAGTCTGAGACCTGTTCAGATGGGGGCCACGGGGGAGGTCGTGACATAATACTTTGAGCTTTGGTTCCATATTTTGGTGCATATAGTAGGCATTGTGTTCCACAGCATCTTATGTATACTTTATGTACTGAGTGTATCTTTGTTCTGTGGCTGCTTGTGCCTGGATATTTGGGAGGATGGGAATATTTGTGTCTGCTTGTTCATGTAGGTGATTTTGTTAAGGGCATATTTGGATCATATAGGAGGTCATATGGCTAAGAGTGTGAAGAGGAGGGGTATGAAAAATGTGCAAGTCTCATAAAGGCGTATATATGTAGATGATTTTAGTGTTTTCAAACTAGATTTTGAGGACTATTTCATTTTTCTTATCTTTTAAAGTTACCTTTCCGTGGCCTAATTTTTTTCTTTTTCAATGAATTTTAATATGGTGAATCATAAGAAATTTCTCTTTTTATAATAAAAGTGTTATTTCTTTTTTTTTTTTAAATATATTTTATTGATTTTTTTACAGAGAGGAAGGGAGAGGGATAGAGAGTTAGAAACATCGATGAGAGAGAAACATCAATCAGCTGCCTCCTGCACACTCCCTACTGGGGATGTGCCCGCAACCAAGGTACATGCCCTTGACTGGAATCGAACCTGGGACCCTTGAGTCCGCAGGCTGACGCTCTATCCACTGAGCCAAACCGGTTAGGGCTTATTTCTTTTTTTTTAATTAAATCTTTATTGTTCAGATTATTACATTGGTTCCTCTTTTTTCTCTCCATAACTCCCCTCCACCCAGTTCCCACCCCACCCTCCGCCCTCACTCCCCACCCACTGTCCTCATCCATAGGTGCACGATTATTGTCCAATCTCTTCCCGCACCCCCCAAACCCCTTTTCCCCCCGAAAGAATAGTCAGTCCATTCCCTTTCTTTGTCCCTGATTCTATTATAATCACCAGTTCATACTGTTCATCAGATTATTTATTCACTTGATTTTTAGATTCACTTGTTGATAGATGTGTATTTGTTGTTCATAATTTGTATCTTTACCTTTTTCTTCTTCCTCCTCTTCTTAAAGGATACCTTTCAGCATTTCATATAATACTGGTTTGGTGGTGATGAACTCCTTTAGCTTTTTCTTATCTGTGAAGCTCTTTATCTGACCTTCAATTCTGAATGATAGCTTTGCTGGATAAAGTAATCTTGGTTGTAGGTTCTTGGCATTCATCACTTTGAATATTTCTTGCCACTCCCTTCTGGCCTGCAAAGTTTCTGTTGAGAAATCAGCTGACAGTCGTATGGGTACTCCCTTGTAGGTAATTGACTTTCTTTCTCTTGCTGCTTTTAGGATGCTCTCTTTGTCTTTTGCTCTTGGCATTTTAATTATGATGTGTCTTGGTGTGGTCCTCTTTGGATTCCTTTTGTTTGGGGTTCTCTGTGCTTCCTGGACTTGGAAGTCTATTTCTTTCACCAGGTAGGGGAAGTTTTCTGTCATTATTTCTTCAAATAGGTTTTCAATATCTTGCTCTCTCTCTTCTTCTGGCACCCCTATAATTCGGATGTTGGTACGCTTGAAGCTGTCCCAGAGGCTCCTTACACTATCTTCGTATTTTTGGATTCTTTTTTCCTTTTGCTTTTCCGGTTGGGTGTTTTTTGCTTCTTCGTATTTCAAATCTTTGACTTGATTCTTGCGATCCTCTGGTCTGCTGTTGGGTGTCTGTATAATATTCTTTATTTCAGTCAGTGTATGCTTAATTTCTAGTTGGTCCTTTATCACAACATCGAGGGTCTCACTAGATTTCTTCAGGGTCTCATTAAGTTTATCGGCGGTTTCTAGAAAATCCTTGAAAAACCTTAAAAGTGTGGTTTTGAACTCTATATCCAGTAGTTTGCTTTCCTCCATTTCTGTCATTTGTGTCCTGTTTCTTTGTCTCCACATTTTTTATGCTTCGCTGTGTCGATAGAGTGGCTTTCTGTGCTAAGTGTCCCAATTACCTGAGGTAGACATTCTTGGTGCACCCCCTTGTGGGCTTTGTGCACAGTCTTGTTGTAGTTAAGCCTTGATTGTTGTAAGTAAAACGGGGAGGATTTGACCTCCAGGCCAATTGGCTGTGAGAATCAGCTGTGTCTACGGTGGGAGAACTTCTGTGCTGAAGACACCCTTATGGGGCAAGACTTGCTTCAGTGGGGCTTTGGTGCTCACTGAGTCTGCCCCCTGAGTGTGTCCCTTATAGATCTGAGGAGTTGTAATTGGATGGTCCCACTCTGACCACTGGGTACACTGGCTATTGGATCCAAGGAGGTGCTAATCTAGCCTCTGCCTGAGGCTATCCAGCAGAAGCCAGCTGTAAAGCAATGCAAGTTGCCCTGGGGCCTTGGGGCAGCTGCAGTTTATTAAGTTATTTTCAGATTACAAAGGGCCTTTCATATGCAAAAGCCTCCGTGCACGGCTTGGGCGGGGCGGGGTCCCGGGGGATCAACAGGGTGGGCCGAGTGAGCGAGCAGTATGGCTGCTCTCAGTCCTAATTCAGAGGACCTGGCAATCGCAGTGAGTGCCTCCGAGAGAAAGCTGCCCTTGAGTTCCGACCGATGCCAGACAGTCCCGTTTCTCCCGTATGAGTCTGGGTCCCCAGAGACTTGCCCGGAACTGGAGCTTAGAGCCAGAGACTCCCTCCCGATTGGAAAAGACAATCTGTCCTCAGCCGCCAGCCCTCTCCGCATGCACCTCCGCACCTTTGTATTTACTTCAGCACCGCACCTCCTCTGAGTCTCGGTATGCTTTTCTCTTTCCTTCTAGTTGTAGAAATTCCACTCAGCCAGCCTTCCTGTGGTTCTGGATGATGTCCGTTATGTCTTTTAGTTGTATTTTTGAAGTGGTTGTGCGAGGCAGCAAACTCCGGTGTTTACCTATGCCACCATCTTGGTTTTCTCCGTCAAAAGTGTTTGTTATTTCTGATATATATTTAACATTAGTGAGACTGACATCCCAGAAGATTCTCTACTTAATTATTCTTTCCTTTTAAAAAAAATAAATATTTTTATTGGTTTCGGAGAGGAAAGGGGAGAGAGAGAGAGAGAGAGAGAGAGAGGAAGAGAAAGAGAAAGGGAGAAAATCAATGATGGGAGAGAAATGTCGATCAGTTGCCTCCTGTATGTGCCTCAAACAGGGATCGAACCCACAACTTGGGTATGTGCCCTGACCAGGAATCAAACCCACCACCTTTTGATGCATGGGATGACACTCCAACCAACCAAGTCACCTGGCCAGGGCTTGTAGGGAATTATTAAGTGTTAAAACAGGTACATTTATTCACAGAAGACATTTAACATTTCTCAACATAAACATTTTTAAGGGAAAACAGGCATGAAGGTCTGAAGTTTTTATTTGCTATTGTGTAGATGACCACAGTGACCTCCATACTACCTCCTCGCTGTCTTCTCCCTTTAGCTTTCTTGCCACTATTGGAGTAGTCTTGCTAAAGTACCACACTAGTCACCAGGTGACAGCTTTGCTTTAAAAACCCATCTTTTTATTTTTTTATTTTAAAATATATTTTATTGATTTTTTACAGAGAGGAAGGGAGAGGGATAAAGAGTTAGAAACATCGATGAGAGAGAAACATCGATCAGCTGCCTCCCTCACACCCCCTATTGGGGATGTGCCCGCAACCAAGGTACATGCCTTTGACCGGAATCGAACCTGGGACCTTTCAGTCCGCAGGCTGATGCTCTATCCATGGAGCCAAACCGGTTAGGGCCCATCGTTATTTTTATTTATTTTTTTTATAACCTCTCAATGTACCTTTCAAGATGTTCTGTGTTTTGGGTCTCCTATAACTGTCCAGCCTCGTGTTTTCCCAGATTTCAGCTATCTCCTTTGTGTCCCGGGTAAATTTTTTTACCCTTTCCAGGAATTACCATCTCTTCTCTTTCCTTACACAAATCCTCTCTAATCTTTGAGGCCCAGTACAAAGCCTTTTTAGACCTTCCTGTTCTCTTATTTCCAAAAGACGTTCTAGAGCTTCCTGTTCTCTCTTCTCAACTGCTACAGCTCTCACAATTTCACACTTTATTATAATCAGTCTTATACCATGTGACTACTTGGAGTATGGTAGCTTTCATTTTTCTAAGTGTATGATCTTGAGGAGAAATACATGTATTTTTCCTGTTACACATAGCATATAGTAGGCACTGATACTTGTTAATTAATTCGTGATGCCTATAATGAGCTCCCTACCTTCTTTTTCCTTGGACATATTACACATTTTGAAACTGTAGTAAAACCAAATCAGTGTATTTATGAGTTGTAGCTGACCACATGCCACTGCAGCATGGCTGACTTTGGAGTGTGTTTGCAGCATCTTGATTTTGGCCCGCCTTTGCTGATGATGTACGTAAACTAGGTCGTGCTGTACTGTGAACAGCATTTCTTTTTCCCTCTCCTGCAGTGTATGCCATTCGCGAAGCTGCCACCAACAACCTCATGAAACTAGTTCAGAAGTTTGGTACAGAGTGGGCCCAAAATACCATCGTTCCCAAAGTGTTAGTAATGGCAAATGATCCTAATTATTTGCATAGAATGACCACCTTATTCTGCATTAATGTAAGTATTACACAGCTATTATTGCTCAGGTGTTAAAGCAGTTATCCAAGATTGTGTTCCTGAATTCTGAATATATTGTCTTCTATTTGGAATATATTTCTTATTGATTTCTTTGGATAGTTAAGAGATGAGAGAAAAATGTCAGCTCTCAATCCATGTTAAAATCTACAGTAGTGAAGTCAGTTGTGAATTCTGCTCTAATTCTGGGTTTTTTGAATTCTACTTTGTATTACTCATTTAGTGCTCAAACTAGAAACATTTTCCTGTTGGCCAGTTACTTTTTTTATTAAGTATTAATTTTTCTCTTTAGATTTGGGGATATTTTACAAATAAAAGTGTTTTCTAGGTACTGTCTGAAGCCTGCGGTCAGGAAATAACTACTAAGCAGATGCTGCCTATTGTATTGAAAATGGCAGGAGACCAAGTGGCGAACGTCCGTTTCAATGTGGCCAAATCTCTACAGAAAATTGGACCAATTCTAGATACTGAGTAAGATTTTAATATTATTCTTATTTTAAAAGTAGATTAAAAATATTACATGATAGTGGGGAGTAATGGCTAAAAATAAATTCGGTGATTTTTACTTTACCTAAGGTGTGGGTTTGTTTAAAGAAAATAATAAAATAACCATTTTTGCAGGTGTCCAATCTTTTATATTTAAACTCATATATGTGAAGATCATTGTCTGAAGCTATTTCTGCTGAGAACTTTAGATATTATTTAGTATTTGTCAAACTTATAGGTGTTTTAAAAGATTTTTGTATTTTAAACTTTAAAAATTGCCTTAGAGCCCTAGCTGCTTTGGCTCAGTGGGTAGAGCATCGACCTATAAATCGAAGGGTCCCGGGTTCAATTCCAGTCAAGGGCATGTACCTCGGTTGCAGGGTCCTCCCTGGCCCAGGCGCTGGTTGGGTCACATGCAGGAAGCAACCAGTCGATGCGTTTCTCTCACATCGATGTTTCTCTCCTACTTTCCCTCTCTCTTCCACTCTCTAAAAATCAATGGAAAAATATCCTTGGGTGAGGATTAAAAAAAAAAAATTGCCTTAGAGCATATGTACCATAAAACATTTTTCTGACCCAGAAGACTGCCTTTCACAGACAATACTGTTGGATTTCAGTGCTTTGCAGGAGGAAGTTAAACCGGTACTGCAGAAGTTAGGCCAAGATGAAGACATGGATGTCAAATACTTCGCACAGGAAGCTATAAGTGGTATGTCCTTCTGTTGTCTGCCTTGCAGCTTTTGCTTTGGTTGACAGGGTGTAAGTGACGCTCAGTGGGCAAGGCGATCAGCATATGGGAGACGGGAGGGTGTTGAGTGCCTGGAATGCTTATTCCCTTCTTGGCTCACCACTGAGCAGGCCGTTTCTCAGTCCCATGTGTAGGGATGGGTAGGAATGTGATTTTCACTAGTAAGAATAGTTTGTTTGGATTTTAATCAATTTTTAAAGTTTAACTTTGATTAGCCTGACAGAGTAGAAAAACTGACCACAATGAGAAGTTCAGTCTCCTGCTTTTGGATAACTGTTGTGCTCAATAGTCACACAGGTAGTTCATGAACTTTCTGTGCCACTAACTTGATTCTGTTTGGAATTTTCCAGTGCTTGCATTGGCATGATGAGGAGCAGGAGGGAAAAGACTGTACTAATTTCTTAACACAGATTTCTAGTCAATGTGTTCTTCAACTGGATGGAGAAAAAAATGGAAAACCTTCAAGACCTCATCCAAGCAAATGGCAACAGCTTCCAAGAAATCAAATTTCAGTGACTTGATTCTTTTTAAAGATGTAAAGGGATTGTTTTTACTTGTCTTCCTTGTTGGGATAATTATACACCATTCTTTTTGTTTGTGACCAGTTCCTGACACTCGGTACAGTCGTTTCTTGATTGTCTCCAGGGATTTATTGGGCACTATCTGGGCTCCTGCACCCTCACCGTTCCATCAGCCTGGCCACTTAATGTCCTGACCAGGGCTGGATGGGTTGGGACCCAGACATGCAGTGGAGTGATTCTCTGGTGTCTACTTGTATCTGTGTGACTGTTCATCATTCCAAAGTTAAATGTACAACTTATGTTATAAACCCTCTATTTGGGAGACACATTGAGATTTAACTGTAGTGAAAGCCACATTTTTCTGGATAATGATGGTCTGCGTCAGTGTCTTACATGAAAGGGGAATGTGGAAGCTCAGAGTTCATGTGTTGTTTGTTCTGGTTTTTCTTTGCCTTATTTTGACTAATCATGTCACTCAGAAACCTGATGTGCAGATGTATTGCTGCTAATGTGTAATGTTAAATCCGAACTGAATTTCCACAGCTTATACCACTGTGTTCAAAATACTTCTCTCTCTCCTTGCTGAGAAACTTAAAATTTAGTGCCTTCGAATAAGCAGTAGTTCTACCATGTCATTGTAAGATTGCAATTTTGTAATTCTAATGAGAAAAGGAATGACTGGTATAATACTGTGAGGATTTCCTGCGCTTAACCTCATTCTGCTTCCAGCTGTGTTAACATCTGGTCCTTGCTTTGGCTTTCCAAACTAAATTTCATTACTTTTTTGGTATGGATGATGCTGGAATCATCATTTGAAAACTTTGTTTTTCTGCTTTTACAGTAAAACCTCATTAATTTTTCCTGGAACTTAAGATAACTAGTTAAGCTGAAGGAAGGGTTTCCTGGAGCAAATTAATAGTTTGTAGGGAAGCCTATTGGACCCAAACTAAAACTATTTTGAAGCTCTCTTTAAAAAGTACCCTTTTGCCAGTTAGTACACCAATTACTAATCACTTTTCAATTACATTAAAATACTTTTCATGAGGATTTTTATGAGCCCCCACTTTTTTTTTTTTTTCAGATATATTCAATTTAGTCTTTATCCCTGAAATATATACATTTGTATTTCATGGAGAATTTAAATATATTTCCATGTAAATTTATTTACATTGTCACCTGTTCAAACTCACCTTGTCCCTAATGAATGTTAATGAGGTTTTATTGTAGTTTATTTTTCTCAGTGCATCTTGCTAGGTAGTTTGCTTGTTCCATTTTGGTTTTGGAATTCTTTTATTCACGACCTCTTTTAAACCCAGTGCACCCTATTCTGTTTTTTGAAAACCAAGTTTGAGCGAATTACTTTCAAGTTTGTCTTACCGTAGAAAAACAACATTTTGAATCAGAAATTGCCTGCATTTAAAATTGTCAAATTACCTTATAGTAACTTTATATTTTATTACTTTTGGGGCTAAGAATTAAATATTTTCCCTAAGCAAAAATCTTTTATACAGTCTCATTTTATATCTTAAACTATTATGCTGTAAACATCTTAATTTTAGTTTCATGGTTCTTTTTTTATTATTATTATTACCTGTAGGTTATGTTTATTCTTCATTGAATTTCATTTTTCAGAGGCTGTTGTCTTCGTTCTTGAAACAAATTTGTACAACCATTGCTTTATTCTTTGGTTGGAAATACTGGTTGGTTGGAAATGTCCTTGGTTTTGGGATAGACTTTTAAATGCCCTTGTGTGCCCCCTGGGGGTCCTGTGCATTGACCTTCTACCCCAAGACTATGGCAAAGGAACCCTTTACTTTTTCAGACATGGGTCAGGGAGCTCAGCAGGGCGCTGCCTTTTTAGATGACTTCTTAGGGACTTCACTGTGTCTTTCTGCCTTAAATGGTAGGGAGTCAATCCCTTTTGTTACTGCTCAGAGGAGTCATCTTTTTTTTTTTTTTTTGCTAACTTGGTTATTTTCTCCACAGGTTATCTTGCTGTCACTATAATGTAAGCTCCAGGAGCTCAGTAAGGGCAGGGATTTTTGTCTGCTATATCACCAGCACCCAGATCAGTATCTGGTGTACATAGTAGGTACTCAATAAAAATGTGTTCAATGAATTTTTAAAATCTGTCCTCTGATGTGTTGTGTTCGTGGAACAAGTCATCAAAGGTACCAGACTGCATCTCATTCTCCCATTCACAAAGGAAAGGACCTTACTGCTCTTAAGAAATTAGCTTTATGTGACCCTTCTCCATCCCCTATCTTAGGCAACAGTTCCATTTGGATTGGTGCAATCACCTCTCACATAGATTGCTGTTATTTTTTCATCCCAGGCAGTTCATATCAGTTGTTTGGTCGATTAGGAAAGGGAAGCAGAGACAAACATACAAACCTAAAAATGTCTCCTCAACAATGGAATTCACTTCAGTGTTTCTTTCCCATTTGTGTGGGGTTTACTCCTCAGAGATTTGAGAGACCAGACCTTAATTCTCTGCTGCCAAGTGGGTATGAACCTGAAGATGCATGGTGTTTCATAAGAATAAGCTGGTTCATGTGTGATTTCTGACAAGGCCTTGTTGACATAGCCATCAGCTCATGGAACGACCACAGCTTGACCACTGTGATGCATGGTCTTGGGGTCTCTGCTGGACAACTTGTCCTGATTCACAATAGGCAGCATGCTAACCTCAGCTGTCCTAAGCATTCAAGATAGTGCATGGACCTCTAGGGGAAGAAGAATGTCATCTGGACCCCGTCGTAGCTATGGCAATGCTCTTCTTGCGATTGTGACCGCTATGTTGGTGATTTCCTGTGGAAGTCACGTGGTACCCTCCCCACAGAGATGGCAGGGCCGTAGCCACAAGCTGGGTGCTTGTCCTACCCTTTTGCCTTTGACTTCAGTTCCTCTGACCTGTTTTCATTTTGAAGCTCCTGGCTTACAGCCTCCTGGTGGCTGCTTGGGTGTGACACGAGCGAGAGGAGCTACCTTGTTAGCAGGTCTAGGGCCTGGTCTGCTCCTAAGTAATCGTTCCCTCGGATTCTCCTGTTTCCAGCCAGTTCCTTGCGCCTCTCTCCTGTTCACTCACGTGTCTCCAATCCTTTCTTTGTACCCAAAATAGCCCCTCTATCCTCCCCATGAGCCTGCTGTGTCCAGGAAATGACACAATGTTCAGTTGAGGGAAATGTGGAGGATGGGGAGTTAGTTCCTCGTTAGGTAGGAAAGCCAAGCTGCTGCTTTCTGCAGAGCTTTCTGACCGGTGCTCTCAGTCCTGGATGCAGCCAGCACTTGTCTGGTTGGGGCTCTGTAGGCCGGCAGTACCGAGTGGGGAGCATCCCCTGCTACCATGAGGCTGATGGGTGGCTCTTTGTGCCGCTCTGGAGGAAAAGCACCTTCAGTGAGGTCCTGGGGTCACCCCGCCGCCCCACTGCCACACCTGAGCCACGGAGGGCATCCTGGCTGGGACATGCCCGCCCAGGGACAGTTCGGGACAGTTTCTGTGCAGCCGTCTGTCACTAGTGGTGGCCCACGGGCTGAGGAAGCTAGATTTTCCCGTGGACTGTGGAGAGCCCAGCGCCCCTGGGCTGACGAGGACCTCCTGCGACCCAGAGGGCCTGGAGAGGACACCAAGAGGCAAGCGCACAGACACGCTGGGCCTGAGGCCTCCCCTCCCAGGGACTTAGGTGTGGGTGGAGGTGTGGGTGGAAGTGTGGGTGGAAGACAGTCGGCGTGGCCTGCTGCTACAGCAGGCAGGGGGGAACTCCGTCCTGGAGGACAGCAACGTTTTTAGGGCCAAGAGAGTATACAGGGTGGGGCAAGAGTAGGTGTACAGCTGTTTGTATGGAAAATAATACCATCTATAATAATATAAGTGTAATATGCAAATCGACCAACAGCAGAACGACCTTCCAGACGACCTTCCGGAGGACCACGCTATGACATGCACTGGCGCTAGGCCAGCCAAGGTGGGTCGATGCAATTGGTCAGGGCCCCCCCCCTTCCCCCCCCCCCCCCCCCCGCCAACACACATTTTGTGCACTGGGCCTCTAGTAATTAATACTACAAGAATAAACCGGGTTTCATGTACTCATGACTATAAATCTACTTTTGCCTCCCCTGTGTTTTAAGCCCGCTGCCCTGTTTCTTGTCCTTTGTTCTGGGCGTGCTTTCTGAGGGATGGAGTGGACTCAGCTCACTCCGGTGGCTTCCCTCCCCACCCTGGCCAGCACCAGCGAGACCCATGCAGAGGCCAGAGGGGTGTTTGGTCGAGTTGCTTATGGAGATGGGCTACTCCCACTTACCTCACAGAATACAGTTCTTATTTGCTACAGTTCCTCTGGGGTAGTCATTTCCACTCAAGGTAAACACCATCCTGTCCATTTCCTGTGTAACATGGGAATGTGTGACAAGCCCCTGTGATGCCCCCTGGAGAAGGTGTTCAGCAATTAAACTCGGTGCGGCCACTGCCCTGGGCTGCTGGTTAGGCGAGCAGGTAAGACACAGGCAGGTTCAGAAAGCGGCACGGAGGGCCCGCTGCCCTGCGCGTAAGCCAGGAAGCACTTAGTTGATGTGGAAGATGACTGGCATCTCACACCCACTCCAGTGGGTTCACTTGGTGGCGATTTTAACCTCAAAAAGTTTGCCTTCCAAATCTCCATGGCTTTATTTTATGCAAACGGGGCCATGAGCACTTCCTCCTGTGGTCCAGGCTCTGAACTGTGTTGCATCTGGAGTGTCCCGGTTCTGTGGTGCTGCGCACCGCCGTCCAGGGCCAGGGCCAGGCGTCCGAGCGGGGCAGCCCGGGCTGCCCTTGCAGCGGCCCTGCCACGGAGGAAGTGCTGGGGTGACCCGCTCACAGCTGCAGCCAGCCCCTGGCCGACAGGTGCCTGAGGGGGTCAGCCTTTTTCAGTTTCACGGAGTTGGCCTTGGGGAAGACACACTGGTGGAAGGAGCAGGAATAATAGTTTTTAGGTCTAAACCACAGACTTAAACAAGGAGTTAGGTTTTCCTACAAATGCAGGGTCAGCTGGCCATGTCATTAAATGTGTGGTCCGCCCCTGATCTGAGCATGGACTGGCGGAGGCGACCCCTCCCCGGCAGGCTTGCTCAGGCCTGTAGGTGGCCCTGTGAGAGCCACAAGCTGCAGAAAGAGTATTAGCGGCCATGCCCGAGCCTCCAAACTGTGTGCAGGCACCTTGTCAAGCGCTTGGCACAATCCCACCTAATTCTCACAACTCCAGGCATAGGTGCTGTCAGCGCCAGTTGTCAGGTGGTTGTGAACATGTGCAACACCCAGACCCTCCCCCAACCCCGTCCTGTCCACTGGGGGTGGGGGAGTGGGGAGGGAGGGGATGGGCAGGCCCAGCAGCATGAGGCCAATGAGTGTGCAGTTCATTCAGCCCAGAAGGCCCTGCTCCGTCATGCAGGGAGCCTTCCCTGCACTTGTTTCATTTAAGGAAAATGACTCGGGGTGAGACAGAGAGGGTGTTAGCTGTTGCCAGGCACGGCCCTGCATGTCAGGGGCCAGCGGCCAAGTGAGTGATCCCAGGAAGTCATCCAATTACAAACAGAAATTGTTCTTAACCCCTCACTCACTGTCCGGGGTGCACAGCAAACTCGCCCAACTGCCCAAATGGGGTCAGAGTGAACGCTGGCTGCTCAGAACCCTAGCAACTCTCCCCAGTTCCTGGCTGGCTTTGGGCTCATGTGGGAGCCAGTCCTCCTCCCAGGGCTCGGGCCTGCCTCTTGGTCCAAGAGTGAATGGCCCGAGGGGGCGGGAGCCAGTTCTTTTTGGTGAAAGGTGCCTCTTTGGTCCCTCGGAGACTGGGCCTCCATGTCTGTGGAGCCGTCTGTGCTCTGACGTGGCACGTGTCCCCTGGCAGGACCTGCAGGGGCACCGGCCACCTCGCACACCTGGTCTGTCCTGCCAGGCCAGGTGGGACTGCCCTGGACAGTCTGCAGGCTGCTCCCTGATGACAGCTGCTGGGGGGCTCTGTCAGGAGGGTTAACAGACAATTTGTTTATTGAATCACGAAATAGCTGTCACATGATTTTAATCAAAACACCATTTCCCTGGCAACAGTGATGTCAGTCTTGTTATTGCAGGAAGGAGCAGCTGTGAGGGACATTCAGTCTCCAGGCCGAGCCCAGGTTTGGAGACGGAACTCAAGTGACGCGCCCATAAATAATGGGCACAGGTCCACGTCTGAGTCCGCCTCCTCCTCTTCTCCGTCGGGACAGTGTCCCGCACAGACACTGGCTGGCCGGGCCCTGCATCCGACTCCACGGAGCTCTCACCTTCTGCACACCTTGCTCTTTCTACCCTTGTTTCTACTTCTGATTTTTCCAGTTTTCCTCATTTCCCCCAAACTCAGAAAATCTCTGGGGCCCATGGGACCTCTGGCCTCTGCCTCCTGGCATCTGTCTGTCCTCCGTGCTCTAGGCTAGCGCTCAGAGCCAGGCGGCTCCAGCAGCCTTGTGGGGAGGGCGGGCGGGAGGGGGCCATTCTGCTGGAACCAGCTTTGTGGGGGAGGAGCAACTGCTTGTCCTTTCCTTGTCTCTCTTGAGAGCAGGTGGGGGGCCAGGTGCTGCCCGAGGGTCTCCAGGGCAATTCTAAGCAGCTTGGCTGTGGCAGGGCCAGAGGATCAGTTCTCTGAACCCAGAAAGACTAACGAGGCCTGAGTCCAAGCGAACGGAGGCCTGACAACGGATCAGAGCCCAGGGAGGTCAGGGTGAGCGTCATGGCAGCTGGAGCAGTGCCCTCAGGCTCCAGCCTCCACTCCCCGGGCAGAGAAACCCCCCAGGCCCTCTCACCCCTCACCCAGGAGCTTGGCCTAAAAGTTGGGGACTCGTGAAAAAGGCCTCTTTCTAGGTGCCCATGGCTATTGCTGCCCAGAACGCGTCACCGAAAATGAAGAAATCTCAGGCAAAGTTCTTGGTTCTTAATCTGGAGCTGGGCTCAGGATAGGACAGCCGTTCTTCACGAGGGAGGAGATCCCAGGCGCCAAGCAGCATCTCTCTGTCTGGGGTTGGAGCAATTACGGTTACATGACAGCAGGGCAGCAGGAGTGATGCTGTGAGCATCACGGTGCTGGTTCGAGGCGTGTTATGCCAGCTGCATTGAACCGTAGAGTAAACCGGGGATGAAGTCAGCCAGGCTGTTTCCAAGTTACTGGGGGGACAGCGAGCCTTTGCAGTGATTTGCCCAGGTCAGGGGCAGGGCTGGGAGAGGTGCCAGAGGCTGAGGACTCAGAGGTTCCTCACTGCCTAGGCCTGTCCCTGGCAGAGAAGGGGTAGGCACCACCCTGCCTGGAGGGCCTTTCTGGCCAGGTGGCTGCTCCAGGGGCTGCGCTGGGGAAGCGGGGCCCAGTTCTCAGCCTCGTTCCTGCACAGGCCCTCCTGGCCGAGCCCTTTCCTTCCTGGGGCCCCTCCACCTGCCCTCGCTTCGCTGGCACAGGGACCAGAGGGCAGATCTCGCGGTCCCAGACTGGAGTGGGCCAAGGCTGGGAACCCAGGGTCCTCGCACGCTGCGCTGCCAAGGGAGGCCTGGGCCCTTCCTCAGCTCAGCTGCATCCCACTCCCCAGCTGCTGGTGGCCCTGACGTGGTCAAGGACTGACTCCTGAGTTCTCAGGCCTCCTCTGGGCATCTCTGGCCCATCATTCCCTCTTTTTCTCTGGGGAATTAGGGAGATCGAGTCAGAAACTGTCAAAGCCTGCCTGGTGCGTTGAGCAACTCACTCCTCCCTCTGAGAGGCTGGCCCCCCAGTGCCTCCCTTCTGGGCCCGTGTTTTCTGAGGTTCTGCCAGACCAGCTCTTGGGAGACAGCCGCAGGGGAGCTGCTTCCCGTGGTGCTGCGTCCTCCTCCCTTCCCCTGTCCTGGCGCCTTGCTTGGTGGCTCAGCCCCGCACCCCCTCTGCCCAGGCTTCGGACTGCCGATTCAGACCCGCTCTGGGTCAGGCGTGCCTAGGAAAGGCCCCTGGAAACTGGACAAAAGGAGGTGTTAACACTCCCGAGGGGGATCTGCAGCTACAGGTCCAGTTCAGTTGCATGGTGGGCTGGAACATAGTGGCAGGAGGAGCTGGAGCTGAATGGCTGGGGGCAGGTAGCAAGCTCCCCACTGCCTGGCCTGGCTTTCGAGGTTGGCCTCAGTGATTTGTGGTTGTAGCTTCCCATCTGGGTGTGGGCAGATGTGCCGGGATGGCTAGTGTCTGAGATGAGGGGCCAGTGCCTTCACTTCAGTTATGACCCACATCGGTCTCCCAAGGGTCATGGCCAAGTATGAGCCTGCACAGTATCTCCACCCCCCACCCCCACCCCCGTCCTTCAGAGCTGCTCAGCCTGGTCACTGCTGTAAAGTGCTGGTTGGCTGGGGCTGCAACAGGAAGGGCAGAGCAGCTCATCCTGTGCAGGTGACAGATTTGGTAGCCACGTGGCACCGAGGATTCCGTGCACAAAGCTCAGGACTTCCTCCACGGTGTCCTGGGGCTGCAGGCAGAGCAGGGTCCTCCCTCCCTCACCTGGGTCCCCGGGGAGGGTTGGCATACTCAGCAGGGAGGGCCCGTCAAGAACCCAGTAACTGAAAAGGGTTCGGGGCTGCAGGCGGAGACACTGATGTTCTTCTAAGTCAGGGGTTGAAAACACCATAACTTGGGGTCCACGAATGGGCCTGATGGGTGCAGGAATCAGCTCCTCCCCTGAGAATACCCGTCCAAAGATGTGTCTATATGCCTGTTACTTGGGAAGAGGGGCCCAAGCTTCCACCAGCGTATCAAGGGGATCTGTGAAACCGCAGTTTAAGAACTCAGGGTGTGTCCTGGCCGGGTAGGTCAGTTGGTTAGAGCATTATCCCAATACTCCAAGGTTGTGGGTTCAATCCCTGGTCAGGCAGATACAAGGAGCAACCAATGAGTGCAGAAATAAGTGGAACAACAAAGCGATGTTTCTTTCCCGTCCCCCCCTCCCTCTCTCTCTCTCACTAAATCAATAAAAACGAACAAACAAACAAAAAAAAACCATGTGCCTAGCTCGTTTGGCTCAGTGGATAGAGTGTTGGCCTGTGGACTGAAGGGTCCTGGGTTCAATTCTGGTCAAGGGCACATGCCTGGGTTGTGGGCTCAATCCCCAGTAGGGGCGTGCAGGAGGCAGACGATCCATGATTCTCTCTCATCATTGATGTTTCTATCTCTTTCTCCCTCTCCCTTCCTCTCTGAAATCAATAAAACATATTAGAAAAAAAACAAAACAATAAAACACACACACGTGAAAACCCTAATGAGGTAGAGAAGAGCAGATGGCCAACAACAGAAGCTGGGCCCCTGCTGCTACCTGCCTGGCTCAGGGGGGCACTGGTGCTGCCTCCCTTCGGACGTGTGGGCACCGTCAGCTCGGGGCCTCCAGCCCAGCCCCTCCCGACTCTGCGCGAGCTTCCGGCTCTTGGAGGCCATGGAACTGCAGTATGGTTCTGGGGCAGGGCAGGCCGGGGCCTGATGGCTGCTGAAGTTCTGGCCGGTCTCTGCTGGCAGGCCTGTTGTTTTTGCCTGTACCCTGCGCACTGGGGTTGCTTTTGGCAACACAGAAATGATGGAGAAATTCGGTGGGAAAGGGGAAAGTTTGCAAAACACCATTTCTGAAATCGAGTGCTTTCCTTAAAAAGAAGTGCACTTGAAATTCACAGAATTCTTGGGTAACAGCCGTGGGGGGGCAGTGCTGAACGCCTGTAGGCGGCGCTAGGCCAGCAGAACACGTCCATGGAGACGGCTTGGCTCTCCTCCCGCAGCCGGCAGATGGCCCTGGTTCGGGAACTGTCTCAGTTCTATAGCATGGGTTCAACTGGAATGGTTTGAGTGAAACCAAATCTCAATTGAATTTGCTGTCAGAAAGTAGGACTTAATACAGGCCTTTCCCTCAGGGTCTGGCACTAAACCAAGTCCTGAGCAAGCCTATGAGTGGCCTCAAGTGCTTCGGCAGATGGATTCCTCCAGCACCTGAGGGCACCGAGCGGGTGCCTGTCCCCGGGTGACGTCCAGCTAGGGCAGGACAGGGGCCTGATGGCTGCTGAAGTTCTGGCCGGTCTCTGCTGGCAGGCCTGTTGTTTTTGCCTGTACCCTGCGCACTGGGGTTGTGTGAGCTGAGGCCGTTTGCAGGCCCATCAGAGACCTGCCGTCGTGCGTTAGCAGCGGCCTTGCTGGCCCTTTGTCCCCAGCCCTTGCCCTGCAGCTGGCTTGTCCTGCTGCACGGCCCTCGCCAGGCTACCTCTGAGTCAGTCCGGAGCACCAGGCCCACCGCGCCCGCCCGTCCGTGTGCAGGCTGCGGTCAGCTCGCTGTCAGCGTTCTGCTGCGGCAGACGTGTACTCGGGCCATGTCAGAGCCGGGTATTACTTACCCTGCTGACGTCAATGGAAACATACTATCCGTGCCCTTCGCTGCAGCCTGAAATGAGCCAGGGTTCAGGGCACGCGGCCACCTCCGTACTTTCAGAAAACCCACCCCAGGCTGACGGGGGAAAGTCCCCTGTCATTCGCCTGACACTCAGCGTCCAGGCTCTTAGAAAACACGTTGTTTTTATTTTAATTCAAGAGTGTTGGAAATGTAAAAACAGTATTTTTTTCCTTGCAGAAAACTACCCCATTTAAATTAATGTTTGATACAAAGATCATTTATTAAACTGCATTTTACGCTATTTTCTAACATTGAGTGACAGTTACATTTTTTTTTTTTACTTTTTCACATTGAAGCTATTATGATTTGCACTCAAAATACCAAAGCTGTTAAACTCACCATTTATTCCTTAGTCATTTTAAAAAAGCACACATTAAAAATAACTACAATTAGATTTAACTTTATCAAACGTAACTCACAGACCAAACCTCCCTCAGAAATAAGTGAATCGTCCTGCCGTTCCTACCAACTGCCATTATCTCTGTATGACTTTTATTTCTGAAATTGCAGCCCCCAAAGGACGCCACCTCCTTTTCTGTCTGTTCATTTTCCCTTCAGAGATGTTGGTGGAGGCGATTTCTCTTACATCAGTGGTGGGGAGGTGTCACCACACGAATTTCTTTGAATGAGAGTTTGGCCAGACAGGCATCACAGCCCGCGGCAGGCCGTTATCTGTATTTGCAAACGTGAACGTCATTCCAATCTGTGGTCATATTTCCTGGGATGCTATTATTCTATTTTTATTTTTTTTGAATTGATCTCAGAGAGGAAGGGAGAGCTAGAGAAACATCAATGATGAGAGAGAACCATTGATTGTCTGCCTCCTGCACCCACCACACTGGGGATCGAGCCTGCAACCCGGGCATGTGCTCTGACCGGGAATTGAACCATGACCTCCTGGTATATACTCAACCACTGAGCCACACTGGCCAGGCTATTTTTATTTTATTTTTAAAGCTCCCCTCTACCTATCCATTTTGCTTCTGAAAAGACAAAGTATCAAAGTATGTTATTTTCTTTAGTCATAAAAGTGTCTAAGCAGCACTTTTACTTGATGTACCTTAAGTGGAAAGCAGTACAGCCCTCCTGGGGCCCAGGTGAGGTCAGGTTCCTGGGGCTGAGTCTGCTGGCTGGCAGGGCAGGCTGCAGCTGTGCCATCTGGCCCCTTGGCAATCGAGGAAGAGGTGTCCTTCTAGCGCATACTTCTGTGGGAAATGACCGTATGGTGTAACTGGGAGAAACTAGACGTCTTCAATGTGAACCTACGCGTCTGGAGTTAGTTGGCAGGGCTGGAGGGAGGTCTGAGGGGCCACATCTCCTAGCCTTGTTCAGAGGGCCACCTGGACAAGAGCAGCTGTCACCGGAGGGCCCTCTCCCTCCAAGCCAGGCAGCTGCTGAGTGGAGAACCGGGCCGAGGGGACGATGTCACTCACCCAGCGCTTAACCGACTTGGGGGCTTGGGACGTGGGGCTGTTACTGATGATGGGAAAGGACATGGAACGAGCAGCCAGAAAGCCCAAGAGCTTGTCTTGGCTCCCCCACTGGCGAGCTCCGCGCCCCTGACAGCCACCCAGACTTCCGGCAGCTTTGGTTTCCTGGCTGTAACAGTGAGGACTGTGCCTGTCCAGCTAATTTCAGAGAACTGTGAACAGAGGAGATCACTGTGGAAGTGCTTGGTTAACGTGCAAACCTCAGCAACGTTCCTCTGGACAGGCAAGCTGCGGACTGGGCAGGAGCATCAGCCCCAGCACGGCGTGGTGTGCGGGTGGCGAGGTGTGCGGGTGGCGAGGTGTGCCGGTGGCGAGGTGTGCGGGTGGCGAGGTGTGCGGGTGGGGAGGTGTGCGGGTGGGGAGGTGTGCGGGTGGCGAGGTGTGCGGGTGGCAAGGTGTGCCGGTGGTGAGGTGTGCGGGTGGCGAGGCAGTGCTAAATCCGAAGTCAGTTCAGGTT